GGGGGGGGGGAAGGAACAAAGATTTAAATTAAAGGAGAAAACAAATTTCTTGCCTCACAAATGGAAGGTTCTCAAGCAGCTAGCCATTTTTAGGGATAAACAGCAGCCTGAAGTTATCTGCTCTCAAAGTCTGTGCAGTACAAATATATCTCAGAAGAAACTTTGGTAAGGAAAGCAACCTTTGTCAAAAATCCTTTACTTTTTTCATAGTGAAGCACAGGTGAAAAAAGTATGCCAAACATGAAAGTAGAAGCAACTTTTCAAATTCTCTCTCTTGGGCCATAGCAAAAGATAGATAGATTCGTAAAATACAGAAAAGATTTGGACCTGAGAAGACAGCATTACTCTAGCCGTGTGCCTTGAAAGCCAGAGCCTCTAGGAGCAGATTGCCCAATGGCTCTTCCATTGTCAATGACCCAAACCCAACAGGATAACTAGCTTTTAGGCTCTTTTGTTCAAGTATCGGCTAGAATGGTGGCATCTGTACACTAGGATATGAGACGATCCTTACCAACAGGTGTATTGTGGGGCACTCGTTCCAGTTCCTGCACAATGTTAATGTCCAACAGTTCAAAAGACAGCAAATCCTAAAGGAGGCAATCCCAAATGATATCCATTAGTTAGCCCTGTGATGTACACCTACACACAGGATGTAATGTTAGTAGGCTATTATACTGTAAGTAAGTCCACTCCATTCTTTTAAGTACTTAGTTTGGTTTCAGATAGCAGAAAGGTGGCAATCTTAAATTGGTGTCTGGTCAGATAAAGATAACCTAACTACCCCTCTTGTTAGTTGGCAAGGAAATGCTACAAAGAGGCCTACATACATCAAGGAAAACAGTTTTTATAGTGTAATATGACAAGGGGAGGTGTCAGACATTCCCATGGCTGCTGCTGCAGCAGCAGCAGCAGCAGCAGCAAGTTGCCATAACTGGCCGATTCAGGAAAATACTCTTACTGAATCAAACCCTTTATTCACTCAAAATCTAGTATTTTACCTGAGCAGTAAGGAGATCAACTGAAGGAATGTAAAACTCTCTCTCGCTGTGTGGATTTTTAATCTTCAAAGGAATAGCTGGTACTGGTAAATCTGCCAGTTCCATCACCTCAACAGCCTGCTGGACATCTGCTTCTGATGAGGAAACCACCTGCAGAAACCAAAAAAAAAGAAATATGTGCCTTTAATATATGTACCTTGGATACTAGCAGAAGTCTGAGAAGCATTCTGACTGTATTTCATATACTTGTGTTGTACAGGGAGCAGCAAAAATAATATTAAAAGGCCTCCTCCCTCCCACTATGAAGTTATAATAGTAGATGAAAATATTACAAGAATTGTCCTGAAAGGTTTAAGTTCACTGAAATGAGAATCAGTGCAAGTGAAATTTCAGTGCATGTTACTGCACTTTAAGAATCAGAAACAGGTAGGAGGGCAGATAATTGAAAGAATCCTCAATGAAAGCTACTACCAACAAACCACTGAAACCAAAAGATTTTTCTGAATAAAATGTATTTTTAATACCAATAAAGGTATTTTCCTGAGCGCCTTTTAAAGGGCTCAGGAAAATACCAGATAAAAAGGTCAAAACAGCAGTTTGGGATACTTGCCTCTTTTTTACAGCAAACTTTATCCTTTTGACCGGGACTAAAAATCTTTCGATTATTTTCGAGACAAGCAGTGGCTGGGAAGGAATCCACAACAATACTGCACCAGATTCTGGGCCCAAATTGCTCTCCCTTGTGTGACAGCCGCCAGTGAGAAGTGTAGGTCCCTTCTAGAGCAGGAGCAATGAACTCAACTGAAACAGTCCCCACTTGCCCTGCTGCAAGAGATGGCACCAACACATCTTTTTTTTCAGAGGATGCCAAGGTCAGATTTCCCCACATAAATTTCAGCTGGAGGATTTAGATGGAAGAAAACACATAACAAAACAAATCAAACAAGTCATTTTACTTGCAATCAGTCAACTACCCCCATGCTCAGCATCTCTATAGAACCTTTCAGCACAGAAGCTCAAAGTGCTCTCAGCCTCCCTCAGTTTGCCACAACCAGAAGCTTTACTATCTCTCTAAGTAGATGAGGACTATTGCAAAAGTGAAAAAAGTAATATTGATCTTTTAGTTTGAAATTCAAACCCAGATCACTGATAGATGAGATTATCTGACATCAGGAAAAACGTATGCTATAGGCTTGAGCTACATCTGAATGAAGAACTATGCTACAAGATCTTCCTTAGTTAGTTATTTATTTAAATTATATGGCCCTTGTTTGTGTGATGAGGGGCACCTAGATACAGAACTCCCTGCAAAACACCTCTTTATTAAATTAGGAAAGCTAGCCAGGACCTGAAAGTGTGTTTTTGACCACAGCCACAACTGAAACCACTAGAGGTGCATCGATGCATTGGTCCAATACTGGATTGGCACCAATATAAAGAAAATAGAGTGCATCGGAAAACAGCTTTTTTTTTTTTTGCTTGGTGTAGCCGATAAGTGTCCCATGCATATGCAGCCACAGTACAGCACTACAGGGGGGCTTCCCTGTAGCTCTCCACCCTCAGTGAAGCCTTCAGCCTGCTTATGGAGAAACTCATCAGGGAGGCAGTTAGACGGGCCAAAGCTACCATGGAGCTGAGGATGGCATCCCAAGTTAAGGATAACAAAAAATTGTTTTTTTAGATATATAGGGAGTAAAAGGAAGGCCCAGGGTGGAATAGGGCCCCTACTAAATGGACAGAAGCAATTGGTGACGGACAGGGGGGACAAGGCTGAACTCCTCAACGAGTTCTTTGCCTCAGTGTTCCTAAGTGAGGGGCAGGACAAGGCTCTCACTGGGATTGTAGAGAGGCAGCAGCAAGGCACCAGACTGCCATGCGTAGACCCTGAGATGGTGCACAGTCACTTGGAGGAACTGGATGCCTTTAAGTCGGCAGACCCGGATGAGCTGCATCTGAGGGTACTGAAGGCATTGGCTGATGCCACTGCACAGCCACTGGCGGGGAAAATTTAACGCGCCGGGGGCATAGGGCA